TTTCCTCTTGCCCTAAATACTTCTATGCCTGGTAAACCCCCGATTCCCCACATGTTCCTTTGGTTGTGCTGGCGGAGGATGATGGGACTGGTAGTCCACCCAGATGGGAAGGGAGCAATGGCTCTAAGTGGGATGGATGGATGGTCCGTTTCCCCCCAAAAGGGGGTGTGTCGCATGCCGCTTCGCAGGAGAGGGAAGGTCCCTTCGGAGCAAAGACCCCAAAACCAGCTCAGGGGTCTTAAAAATTTGCACAAGACTGAGAGTTGTTGTTGTTTCTTCTTCTTCTTCTTGTTGTTACCCCGCGCCTTTTCCCGCCCGTTCCTCGGAGAGGGAAAGGGGGAAAGAAGCGGCGGCGGCGGCGGCCGACCCCAGCGCGACCCTTATCGGAAAAAGCGCCTTTCCTCCCCTCCCCGCCGCCCCTTCCTCACCTGTCCTCGCTGGCCGTAATGATGCCGTCCTCTTTGGGGATGACGAGCGCGGCACTGACGGCGTCCTGATGCCCCTCGATCTTGCTCAGCAGCACCGGCCGGCTGCTCTGAGGCCGCGAGTGAATCTCGGCCGCCATCTCGCCAACAGCAGGCCGCGGTCGGCAAAAAAAGTCCGAGCAGCCGCCCTGAAGAAAGCGGGGCCCTTAATCGTGGGAATAGCGGCGCCTCCAAGAAAGACTTCAGCGGCCAGCCATTTTCCGTAATGACCGAAATAGCGCCGCCCCCGGAAGCAGTCGGAGATGGGAGGGGGGTGGGGGGGGGGGGGGAAAGGGGGAGTTGACCGGGGGAAAGGGAGGCCAACCGGGGGGGGTGGTGGGGGGAGGAATAAGGGGGGGGGAGGGGGGGGGGGGGAGGGTAAGGCCAGCGCGGCCGGAAGGTCGCTCATTTGAACAGTTTTGTAGGCGGAAATTCATAATCGGGTTAGAGACATGGGAGGAGGTATAGATCAAATGTCTTTATACCGTTTCCGCATGTGCTGTCAGGAAAAAATCCTTTTGTGCAGAACAGAGATCTTCAAATTTGGCAGCTATGCTGGCTGGAGAATTCTGGGAGTTGAAGTCCAAAGTCTTAAAGCTGCCAAGTTTGAAGATCTCTGTTCTATAGTCAATAATATAATGTTCCATTGTATTAATTGAAGTCCACAAGTCTTAAACCTGCCAAGTTTGAAGACCTCTGTTCCATAGTCAATAATATAGTTTTTTTTTTAAATTAAAAAAAAATGGTTTTTTTAAATGCATTGTAAGCCGCCCTGAGTCTCTGGAGAAAGGTGGCATAGAAATTGAACTAAATAAATAAAAATAAATAAAATAGTGTTCCATTGTATTAATTGAAGTCCACAAGTCTTAAACCTGCCAAGTTTGGGGACCCCTGGACTGTAGAATAAACCTTAGCGGCTTGAAGATATGTGGACTTCAACTCCCAGAATTCCCCAGCCAGCTCAGCCTACAAAAGACAAAAAATATTTTACTGGGGATACTGAGGAGTAAAGACCCCCCCCAAAAAAGGTCAGAAAACGCTGGTACTTACTAACAAGTAATTGAAGGGCTTTAATACACAGCTCTTCAGGCGGTCACTTGGTCACCTCTCAGTTGGATTGCTGCGAAGTGCTCTACATGGGGCTGCCGTCCTTAGACTATCCAGAAACTCTAACTGGTCCAGAATGCAGTGGCAGGGATAGTAATGGGTGTGTCACAATACATGGCATGTGTTTCTGCTGCCTTGGAGCGGTACTTGGTTGCCATTTGACTGCAATTCAAGGAGTTGGTTTTCACTTATAAAGCCATGCGTAGCAAAAGTCCTGATACTTACGCCACTGTGTGTCCTCATATATTCCTGCCTGTCTGATCAGGTAGAATAGACACACTCCAGGTCCCATTTGTTACGCAGGGTCATTTTATGGGATCTAGGAAGCAGGCTTTTTCTGAAAACTTCTTTTTTGTTGTTGTTGTTGTTAGTTGTAAAGTCTTGACCCCATGGGCAAGTTTCTCCAGGCTTTCCTGTCCTTCTAAGCCCTTTGTAAACTCCTAGCCCTTTGTAATGATATCCATAGTCTTCCTCCCGCTGCCCCTGAGGTCTTTTGTGATCTTTTGTAAATCACATAAGATCCGCTTGTTTTCCCATGCCCTCAGGGTTATTGGCTCTTTTTTTTTTTTTGAGTTTTTATTGGATATACTCTTTTTCCTACTGATAGTATTTATTTTCTTTAAAATTTTATCTGTAAACTGCCAGAGTCACCACAGAGTTAGGCGGCCTTGAAATTGAAATAATAAATAAACCTCTATCAGTATATGTTCCAACTTACGGATGAGCCCTGTGTTGCCTTCTGTTTTTTAATCATAAGCAAATCTTTAGTACGAACAAATCTTACAGAAAGTTTCAAAATTATTTTTTCCTAACAAAGAAAATAATTTTGAAATGATTATCAAGAATCATTTATGCTTTTTTAAAAATATATTTTTAAAAAAATATTTTTAAAATGTATTTTTAAAATGTATTTTAAAATATGTTTAGATTTTAGACATTTAAATAACACATTGTTAAACTTTTCCTGAGAACTTTTCCTAATCATCCCTAATTTAAATATGATGAATTTGAATTACTGAAACTTTATTGTATTTCTGTTGGTGCGCTTTAATGTAATGTGGGCATTTAATGAAAACCATCATTAGGTATACATTAAAAAAAATTGTGCTGGCAAAACTTTATTTATATTGCAAAGCAGTTGGGAGTTGAAGAACTGCACTGGGAAAGGAAGCTGCTGAACAATGTGTGAAAGTGAGCCTGTTACCAGATGGGGAAAATATATTTTCCTTTGCTGATTGGCAGTTGCGTTCATATCTAAGTAGGGAAAGAAGGAATGATTTCATCAAAAGTTTTATTGTAGAATGGGAGGGCAAAATAATATATGCCTTTGAAGTTACAGGACAAACCCTTCCCACATTTACTGAGCCAGCTAGGAGCAGAAAGGGCTCTGAGCCAAACCTAGCTCTCCCAAGGAAATTTACACAGTGGAACTTCCCTCAAGCCTTTTCAAGGAAAAAAATGTTATTTTAAAATCTAGCCCCCAAAAAGTAGTAGAAGAAAACTGGATAAAGAGAAGCAATATTATCCTGGGACACGTATATTCGCCTTCATTCGTGAAAAGCAATATTTTCCTCAGAGACTATTTTGCGTAGGAATTATATTGTACACGATTGTATTTGTATTGTATAACAAAGATTAGATTTTTTTAGTCCAAGGGAAAGGTTAGCTGTGTAGTTCTTTCAGGTGGTGGAAGTAAGGTAACAATGAGAAAAACTCAAAGCAATGTACAGCAGGTTCCCAAGTTGTCTTCAACTAATCACTGCCAAATTTACTTCAGCAAGATAGTTATACTTAGCATTACTAATGCCAGCCATTACCAATACAGGAGATCCATGACAACATCACTAATAGATGCCCACTCCTTGTTTGCTTGTGAAATGAAGGGAAAATTCATTTACTCTTTAATCAAATTCTCTTTTCTTTTGATTGTATTTATTTACTTCTGGGACAGAAGTGTTTTATGTTTGAGACACCGCTCATATATTTGAAAAGTAGTAAAACATATTGCCTTTCCTTCATTATTATCTTTTCCACTGTTTTCTGTCAGAATACTTGTGCATAAATCATAGCAATTAATATCAAATACAATATTTCAGTGCTAACTTTTCCAGTCTATTATAGCACGCTCAAGTAAAACAAATAAAGTGTTTATCTTTTTATACAGACATCAACTCTAATGTGTTTACTCTAATGTTTGTAATTATTTGTAATGATGTTCAATTAATTCAATACAGTAGTTCTCAACTTATGATCACAATTGAGTCCAACATTTCTGTTTAACAATAAAGCGAGATAGTTGTTAAATGAATTATGCCCCATTTTACTATCTTTCTTGCTGCAGTTGTTAAGTGAATCACTGCAGTTGTTAAGTTATTAACATAGTTGTTAAGTGAATCTAGCTTCTCCATTGACTTAGCTTGTCAAAAGGTTGCAAAAGGTGATCAGATAACCTCAGGAATTGCAACTGTCATTAGTATGAAGCAGGGGTGAAATGCTCCTGGTTCGGACCGGATCACCCGATCCGGTAGCGATGGAGGCTGATGGTTCGGAGAACCGGTAGCAAAAAACCCTGCACCCCCCCATGCCGAGCTGAGCCACACAATCATCAGAGGCTTTTTTTTTACTTTTAAAAGCATTTTTTTCTACAACCTCTTTGGCCGAAAAAATGCTTTTAAAAGTTAAAAAAAAAAGCCTATGATGATTGTGTGGCTCAGCTGGGATCCTCAAAGGCTTTTAAAAGAAACCCCCCCTTTTTTTTCTTTAAATGCCTCTGACGATCCAAGCTGAGTTACCTGATCGTCAGAGGCATTTAAAAGAAAAAAAGTCTCTGACGATCAGGCAGCTCAGCTGGGATCATCAGAACCTTTTGAAAGCATTTTTTTACAACCTCTTCGCCAAAGAGGTTGTAGAAAAAATGGTTTTAAAAGTAAAAAAAAATTGGCCACGCCCACCCACTCACATTACCACCACCCCCACCAAGCCACGCCCACAAAACTGGTAGTAACAAATTTTAGATTTCACCACTGGTATGAAGCAGTTATCAAGGATCTGAATTTTGGTCACGTGACCATGGGGGTGCTATAATAATTATAGTTACGAAAAATGTCATAAGTCACTTTTTTCAGTGCCACTGTAATTTTGAATAGTCACTAAACAAATGGTTGTAAATAGAGGATTACCTGGAGTAGAAATGACAACAATATACTGCAACATAAATTTCTTTGCATTGTTAGAGTAGTGATCTGTCCACAAGATGGTGCTGAAACTTTATTTTGGCTTTACAGTACTGTATGAAAACAAGTTATTCAACCAGTAGGACAGTTGTGCCCTCTTGAAGGAATGATTTTTAAACTTTATAAGCAGGAGATAATCATTCTCAAACATATGCCATAAAAAAGGTACTTTTAGCAAAAAAGTAAAAGAAACATGTCAGGCTTTTTTTTTATTAAAGAACTTTTTTGTTATTAAAGGCAATAGAAATAAATAATAAAAAGCAGATGGTTTTAGAATACCACATTGTAAATTAATGGCCTTGATACTGATACATCATAACACTTAATTAGCTTCTGTTAAATCCAAATACTAATGTAAATTATTAGCATAAACAATTGAAAGGGTGATTATATAAATTTTAAGCATTAATTAATACAACTGTTTATTTCTTTTTTTGAAGAGAATGTAATTGGTCATATTGTAATAATGAAATGGTATATAAAATCTTTTTGACCAATTTTATTACTAGATACATTTTTGTGGACTCTTTGAACCTGGTTGTTTCCTTGCAGATGTTTCATTATGAAACTTGGTAACATTGTCAGTGCTAGTAAGGGAGTAGGATTTGCTCTCATGTTATATACTAATGGCTTGCCCTATCCTTGGTGGAAAGAGAGCTGGTGGTTCCTTGATTGGACTGTTATTTACTGTTAGCTTGTTTGTCTGGAGTTGATAGTTTCTTAATTGTGGTATTGTTTGCTTCTTGATTGTTGGTCTGGTGTTCATTTGGTATTAATCTGTTCATTGCTGTGAATAGAGAAGAGTTGTGCTTAATCTCTCTGTGTTGATTGCTGGTGAGGTGTTTAAGGTTTTTTTTTGTTTGTTTCTCTTTTGATTGTTTCATTTGAAAGTTATATAGATATTGTTTATTTCTGTGTGTCTGCTGATGGCTGAATTGTCTGAATGTAGATTTGATATATTTCTGTTTTTAGAACTTGTCCAATTAATTGCTGAAGATTAAAGCAAACTCAACTTTAAATTCTCCTAAGAATCATTACGAAAAAAAAAGATGACTTAAGGAGAGAGTACTACACGATATTACCCCTTTCTGGATATTCTCTATTTTTGCACACTTGAAAAAAGTACCAAACTTTGGTGTTCTTTTTTCACATTTCTTTTATAACACACATGGGCCCCCGGTAAGATTCACTGGCAAAGATATGCAAGCATTCAGAAAATCCAAAAGCAGAATAGTACATTTTCACAATTGCCAGGAATAACGATACTGAGCCTTCCAAGACAAATATTCTGCAACTCAAGTTGTAGTTTGTTCTCAAATGCATAAAACTATACAGCTGCTCCTGACACTCTTCTATGTGTTTGTAGAAAAAGTTAGTCTTCTAATCAAGTAAATTTTAACTTTAATGTACAATTCTTATTTTCAAAAGCAACTGGAATTTTTTCAGCAATTATAAGGAAGCAGACAATATTTGGTTTCCAGGTTCCATTCCACAAATATTTTTATTGCCAAACCTTATCCCAAAGAGTAAATAAAGTCCATCAATTACTACACTCAACACAGACATAAAATAGGGTCAAGAAAAATCTTGAAAGTAATTGTCTAATTCTTTATCATGTCACAATTTGCTAATAAATTTGTATAGCTTTGGATCTAACATTTGTTTAATGAGTATTAGGAAAAGTGTGAAGCAGCAATAAAGACAATCAGAAACATATAAAATACTTCATGTAAGCAAGCATATGATATAGTAATCTGTACCAGCAGCTTCATCTCTATGGCTGAAGATCTCGATTTTTACAGGATTGGCTCCTCAAAGTAGAATTATCCTGCCTTGTGTGTATGCTCCTGATTTTCTCTCCCCAGATGGTTTAGGATGTGGGCTCGCTTTTCCCTTGGTCCCTAAGGAAAAATTGGGATTGCCCTTTCCTTGTATTCCAAAAGAGATGAAACTATTACAGTATCTTTCTTGGGATTCTAGATAATACTTTGATAAGAACTGTAGCTGCTATATTTGGTCTATGTAGAATTTTTTGTATTTGGTAATTTTAAGGTAACAATGGTTTTATGAACTATTCAATTATTGTGAATCATTAGAGTCTTGCAATAAAGTGATATATAAATATTGTTAAATAAAAGTTACACTGAACGTAATTTTTTTAATGCTACAGATAAAATTCATCAATTTAACACAGAAGTTTTCAGTTATTTTCAGGCAATAGAACCATTTTTAAACTCTAATGGTAGAAAATTGGCAGAATGTGATTTTTCTTTTAATTCATTTTTTTTTCAATTGAGTTCCTAAAAAATCATAGGGTTGAATAGAATACATTTTAGAAAAATCAACTGATTTAACAACCAATAGTGATGTCCATGCTTATACACAGTATTACATTTTTTCCGCATTCAGCTTTCTGGAGTATTTATGCCTGACACTGAAAAATATTCTACATATCCAGGTGGAAGCTGTTACAAAAATCTTCCATTGAATTGTACCAAAATTATCTTTTAAGAGAAGCATATCAGAAGGACATACAAAGCACATGTTATCTGGAACAATTAAAATACTTTCCAATAGATGAAAAAGTTGTAACCTTCTTTCCATGACATAAGGAAAAAACAGAGCTTTATCCAGGGTAATTATATTGTTGGGGAAAATAATTTTAATATTTTAAAAATGATTTTAGGGCTATTTCAATAATGGACAGTTTCTCCTATATCTGAAGATATTGGTTTAAAATATTTGTAGCATGCAAATATATTTCAGGAATATACTTGACATGACATTATTCTCTAATAAAAAGGTAAAGGTTTCTCTGTCTAATTGCATCCTACTCTAGGGCATGGTGCTTATCTCTGTTTCTTGGCTGAAGGAACCAGCATTGCCTGAAGACATTTTCTGTGGTCATGTTGCCAGCATGGCTATATATACCAAAGGTGCATGGAATGTTGTTATCTTCCTATTGATGTGGTACCTATTAATCTACTCACATTTGCATGCTTTCAAACTGCTAGGTGGGCAGGAGCACAGGAACTCACTGTTGTGCAGCTCTAGAAGCTTGAACCTAGGCTGTCAGCTTTCCAACTGACAAGTTCAGGATCTTTGACCGCTGAGCCATCACACCCTTATTGTCCAATACAATACAATGAATTACTAAAATGCAGACAGAATGGAACATTTTGAAAATTTACTTAACAGAAGTATTCCAAAATGCAGGTCGTTCCTTACAGGAATTATTTTATCACATGGAAATTTTAGCATAGTAACAGTTTACTTTCAACATTCTGAATTGTGAGTAATTGTTTCCCTCCGATATCATTTTGACTCTTGCACTAGATTCGACTGTTCATTATGATTTTATTTTCCTTTGTACAAAAAATATAAAATTTAAATCTATAGAAAGTGTATACTACCAATGACAAGTTGACATTACACCAATGCAAAGGCATTAATTGGGACATTAGTTGTTTAAATCTTAGCAACATGCACAAACTAAAATAAAAAAAAATGCTAAAGCTTTCAATTGCTTTCTAATGGCAAATGCCTCACCCAACTACTGAACTGTAGTAGTAGAAAGGCATAAGCAAACCAAAATCAGACTTGTCCCTTTAATTTCAACTGGGTTTAAAGACAATATGAAATAGAACAACAAATTTTCAAAAGTTGTTAGCACAGAGAGCTAATCAGTAGTTTTAAGGAACTTTACAATGTTTTCAAAAAGGCATTTTATTCTTCCATAAAGAATTCCAGCTACTTAAGGTTCTTTTTCAAAAACTAGATGACCAACATTTCCACAGCTAGTTCATAGCTGAAAAACGGGATACAAAAATATTTAAACCATACAAAGGCATCAATCTTTAGTTTTCTTCAGAAGGAAAGAATCTCTTCCTTTATTCAAGGTTTGGTGATTTGTCCCATAAACAAAACAGCACCTGAGCAAGAAATGTTATTGCAGAAATTGTATTAATTCACATATACAAAATGTTGTTACAAACCCTTAAGACAAAGTTTTTATCTAAACAGCAATTTCTAAAGTTACTGATTAATATATAACTACTAGATAGCAGTTAGCAGTTACATTTTCATAGGTCTACAAAGTGTTTGAAACGTTACGATTTGACTGTAAGCAGATTCAAGTAGCACTTAGACTTAAAGCCTGCTTCACAGTGCTTTACAAATCTCTCTAAGCTGTTTACAGAGTCGACATATTGCCCCCAACAATCTGGGTCCTCATTTTACTGACCTTGGAAGAATGGAAGGCTGAGTCAACCTTGAGCTGCTTAGAATTGAACTCCTGGAGTGAGCAGTGAGTTAGCCTGCAGTACTGCATTCTAACCACTGTGACACCACAGGTCTGTAATACTTATAATACTTGTAATACTGTAATACTTCAATCTGTTATTAAGTTTATTTCATTAAAAAAGCCCTTAAACCATGTAAAATATTTTTAATTCAATGAACAATTTATTTAAAAACAAATATCCCAGTAAGAGTCTATTTTTTAATGACTCTTGATAATTTTTAAAATTGTGCTTATGTCAAAATCAGGGACATATTTTTCTAAATGTTTTGCAAGGGCATGGAAATTCATTAAACGTTTGTGTCTGCTCACCATGGGAAAAAAAAATAAGACCATTAAGAAAATAGCTGACAAATGAATCTTTAATTTCTCATAAATATTTGCAGATGGGAAATGGCCGCTCTACTTCTTACTACGTTTAAATGTTTTTAATAAGTTACTTGAGGGCTTAAATATCTTTTTAATGTTTAGATTTATTATGTTAACTTAGTTGCTGAAAATCTCTTCAATATTTGTCTAAAACCAATGGAAAATGTACCTTTCAATGTCTTTATTTTAAACATATCAGAATGCAAAGCTATGATTAAGAATGATCAAACATCTCATTTATGCTAATATTGCAGGAATGTATTTCTCAAATTTGACTTTATTATTTATGTATTTATATATTCCACCTTTATTATTTTTATAAATAATTTGAAGCATATTCACCAAACTTTCCTCCTATTTTCCCCACAACAACCCTGTGATGTGGGTTAGGCTAAGAAAGAGTGACTGGCTGAAGGTCACCCAGCTAGTGTTCATGGCCAAGTTGGCACTTGAACTCACAATCTCTTGCTTTCTAGCCCAGTTCCTTAACCACTAGATAAACTGGATTTACAGTACGCTTTTAGTGTTACATTAATAGGGTAATTTATTTTTAGTCTTTTTCTATGCCTTGTTCTTTTATTGAGATTTACTAAATACATGCAGCATTAGTATAGAAATGTACAAAGTAGATGGATTAGTTTAGTTTGCTCACAATAATAAAATGGCTAAAGAAACAGTCTGTAAATAAGAACACAACTATAGGTAGGAGGCTGCTATGCCTCACTTCAGTTTCATGTTAAGGGTGGACACTTCATAGGGAATCAGTTCCAACAATGGAACAGTTGGAACAAGAAAAAAAATGACTATGAATGAAGAGAGCAAAAGCTAGGACAATATGAGAGCAGAAGCCTAGACTTAAAGAGATAAAAAACCAGTTTAGTTGTATGATTAACTAAAGGGTGTTCTGTTGTAATTCTGGGACCAGGTTAATAACAGACTGTCATCAGAAAAATATACATGGTTACTGGGAGTTTAAGCTGACTTAATAGCACAAAATCAGTCCTATCACAACTGCACTCCAGGAATGTGACTACATATTATATTATATTATATTATATTATATTATATTATATTATATTATAATATTTATTATATTATATTAATTATATTAACCTCTCTTTTTTTTGTATCTTCACTTCCCAAATGTATGAAGTTTTGTGGGTAATAATATGGCCATCTGGTTATCTTACTATCACCGATTTATTATCCAAGTTTTAGGTGTTTTGTCTCTTTTGCTTTCTTCACTCTTTAAACTGTACTATGATGCTAGTTTGTTCATATCTAAACACATTCTTAATGCTTCATGGTCTTTCCTTCCTGCTGGCAAATTACATTTCACAACAACTTCCTAATAAATAAACCTTGCAGATTTATTAAGGACTTGTTGTTTTTTTAAAAAATTTGATTTATATGCCGCCCTTCTCCGGAGACTCAGGGTGGCTTACAATGCGCTAAGCAATAGCCTTCATTCTTTTGTATATTTATACAAAGTCAGCTTATTGCCCCCACAACTGGGTCCTCAATTTACCTACCTTAGAAAGGATGGAAGGCTGAGTCAACCTTGAGCCTTGGTGAGATTTGAACTTGCAGTAATTGCAGGCATCTGGTCTTAATAACCAGCTTAATAACAGGGTGCCTTAGACCACTGTACTACCAAGGCTCTTACTACTACTCTTAGATCACTGTACTACCAAGGCTCTTGTTAATTGCATATTAACGAGAACTGAATATACTGGTGATAAATAAACAGGAATGACAAGAACTAAAAGCATTGCAAACTCATCTTCAATATCCTGATAATGGTAATACTAATAAAGATAATTAACTATTGAACAGTTTTCTATTTGTCTTGATTAATGCAAAGGTAGTATTAATAAATAGATAGATTTTAAGGGCACAAAGAATGGGAGGAGAGTATTTTTTCTCCAAGGTAGAAGCAAAGCAACAAGGCAGTAAATATGTTCTATGGTGGATCTACTGTATATAAAGAGCCACAATTAATTTCTAATTCCTCCATTCATTAATTCTCTCTGTCTCACACATCTGTAGAATATATGTGTGAGGTATAGAGATCCAAGGACTTTCATGATTAGCCACTCAAAAGTACATCACAAAGAACTCTGAAAACAATAGAGTGACACTGAAATGTCCAACAACTGTGGTTTACATCAGGGGTGTCAAACTCACAGTCCACGGGCCGGATGCATCACGTGTTTGCCACACCCACCCCTGGTTTAGCGAAGGGGCAAAAAGTCACGATACATCATGTGATGACATGACACCACGAGTTTGACAGCCCTGGTTTACACAATGTGGTCTCAGAGTGGTTCTCATTTATTTTGATCAGGTCAACTAAATCATATACTTTTTTCAACAAAGACATCGGATATTCACTTCATTCAATTCAGACATCACACTCCAGTTTTTTGTGGTGTCTGTTTAACCCAAATATATCTATTAAGAGGATTAAGATGAAACTCATTGCTTTGTAGATCAGACTATTGCAGAGTATGGATAGCTCTAAAGAGTTCACAAATTTTCTGTCACTGAATAAGTACAGTATGTTCCTAAGTATGTCTAATCATATCATAATTAAAATACTACTTTAAAGCAGATTTAACTTTATTTGTTAATAAAGTTAATTTGTTTAACTTTAACTCTTTACTGTATATGAATTTGTGGGAGAGGGGAAGAAAGAACGATAAACCACTGAATGTATTTTTTGTGATTATTGTTAAAATGTACTTTTATTTGAGTCCCCTTCCGAATCATATTTGGAGGGGAAAACGGTGGCTTCCCTAGCAGCTGGCTTATGTTTAGTTTAGAATATCAATGAGAAATGGATCAAAGCTCTGAGATGTGTGGTTGACAATTGGCCACTGTGCATCTTCAGAGTTGCATAATGTGCCTTTGATGTCCTAAGCTGCCCATATCTGGGAATTGATGCCAGAACTCAGCAAAGAGTTGGCATTTTATTTCAAAGCATGCATCATAATATGTAGATTAGCTAAGAAATACACTAATGAAACACAGAATCTATTTGTTCCTGGCAACAACCCCTAAGTGTTTAAATCCTGCACAGCTGCAGATTATTCTGTTGCTGTCAAGAAAAGACATTTCTTATTAACAATAAAGAAAAAGGGAGTTTGGGAACCTTATTTTGAAAGACACGGAAGCAAGTCTGAAATGTTTTTGAGCTTCAGGTCTCTCTATGGAGGAATGCTGTCTGAATTTAGCTAATATATAAAAAATGTGTGACATAGAATTACCTGTAGGGTTGTGCCGTATGAAAAATAAAAATGGTCGATCCACTACAAACCAAGGAGGTGATGACCGAGCTGTTACAATTGCAGCTAGACAAAACAGAACAAAAATATGAATGATTACTTGCTCTTTGCTCTGAATCACTACCATATGAACTTAATTTATCTTTTTACAAGTTAGATAAAAAAAATCCAATGAGTTAGAAAAATACTTTTTAAAAAATAAATTATTTTTTTCTCAGTTAAAACAGATCTTATCAACAAAGAGAATAATGTAAATGGTCTAGTTTTAGCAAAAACAGTTCCCCCCCCCCCCCCGCCAGTCACATTTGTTTAATTTTGTACAGTGTTCTAAGGGCCATATTCAAATTCAAATTCAAATATCAATATTTAATTATAAATGGATAAAATTCATGTATTCCAAAAGGCTCCAAGGAAGAACATGAAAATTTTAACAGGAAAAACAGGACAGTGTCATACATGCTTTTGATACTGAATACAGATCTTTTAACAATGCATATTTTAAAAAGATTATATTATATAAAAAGATTATATAAGTACAACCAATGTTTTTGTAAGTATGAAGCAAATATGTAACATTTAAGATTTCAGTATAATATACCGACTATTTTGTTTGTACGTATAATTAAGTTACCTCTGCCAAGTTAGACAGCAAAATGTTTTCTAAATCAATATACATCATTACTTTAAAAAGTATTACAAGTAGAGATGTTACGAAATACAGTATTAAGTTCTAAATTACTATATTTTAGTGCTCAGATCTGCATACATGGTTATATCACAGCTCTGTGGAGAACAATTTAAATCAGAATTGTTGGCTAGGATCCAGTGAAGTTTCTTTTGTTGGCAGAATTAAACACGGAATCCTTAAATTGTATTTTGGTCTGATTGTAATATTTAGGAAATAATATGCTATATTACATTGTTCAGGCCAAATTCCAAATGCCTCTTTATTAATTTTTGCTTTATATAAGAATAAATTCACCAGGCTTTTAAAAAAGTGAGGGGAGCTTTTTGGAATGGATTAAAATATAGCTTTTTAATGCTATTTCAGTATTTGTAGAACTTTTTGGTGATTTAGATCAAACAAATACTTACTTGTTGCTGCAGAAGCTTTGGTTCCATCTTCAGTTACTTCTATTTTTGCTTTTTGCAAGAGCTGAGATACATAAATGTTTTCTGATCCTATGGGGGTCAATCATAACATACATGTGTGAATGTATCATTCCTTCAAAAAGCAATTTCATTTTCAATTATAAGAAATCCCAGAGCAACAGAAGTTAACGAAAATCTGATTTCATACATGTGACTTCCATTGATATCGAAATATTTCACATGTGGTTCTGATTTTATTTATTACAGATATTGTTATCTTTTTATCTAATAAAAAGTTCAAATGATAATATTCATGTGATATGAATCAGTACAAATTAAAACATTAAAACATTTTATTGTAGGGCAAGACAAAGCAATTACATGCACCAGTGATCAAGCGGTATTAACCACTTACTACCGTATATTTGTTTACTCAAACACTCGAAGTATGTATGAATGGATCCAAGTTCCAGGCAGAATGAATTATTTTTTTTCAAAATTATTCAATTTATTTTATTTTTATTTAATTTGAACCGGTCCCTGCAAGCGGTGAGTGAGTGCATGAAGCTCCATTTGTGCAAGTGGCAGGCGCACAAGCGAAATCATCCCTCCCCATGACAGCCACTGCTGGAAAGGTTGAGGACTGCTGCTTTACAGCATTCTCTGAGAAGTTTACAGAGTCAGCCTATTGCTCCCAACAAACTGGTTCCTCATTTTATCTTCATTGGAAGGACAGAAGGCTGAATCAACTTTGAACCGGTGAGGATCGAACTGAGGGGTCCTTGGTGCTCCCTCAGCTTGCTTATTTTTCTTGGAGATGTTTTATCACTCAAACTAGGTAACATCATCAGTGTTACCTAGTGTTACCTATCAATAAAGAGATCCCTCATGACAATCCTGAGCTACAAATATTCTCCTTTATCAGGATCAAACTGGCAGTAGGCAGAGTTAGCCTGCCATACTACATTCTAATATTGCACCACCACAGCTTCTATTTACCATTACCATTCAGAACTATCATAATCAATATGTTACATAACTACAATTTTGACATAGTTTCATAACCAGAATTAAAGAAATATATGCATGTAGCAGAAATCAGTATCAGCTTTCCAACCATAGTTCATTCAACCCGACTTTATGGGTTCATGCACTGTTGAGAAACAATTTTGCCTCATAATTATTATGTACCACCAATAGGTGAGATGAGCAGTTATATAAATTTGATAGATAATAAATGAATGGATCTCAGGGCTGAACTAGGCTAAAATGAGGTTGCCTAATTTTTTGTCTAAAGAGTCAGATATACAAAACTAGCATGTTTTCTCTTTTTATAAATCAGATTTTCCACATTACTGATATAAACCAAACACAGAACATAGAAAAAACATACACCTCTGACCATACACCAGTCTTATGTAGCCTAATATTCTTCAGACTCTTGAACTGTAATTCTCACTAGCCCCAATCAGCACAACCAATAATCAATAAAAATAAAGGCTGTGGTTCAACATATGGAGACCTATGTGATGGGAAATAATGTAGCACCCTAGGTTTCCTTTTCAAGTTCATTTTCAAGAATATGTATAAAGTCAAAGCATCAATGTTCTATTTATCTGTAATTCCCGAAGGCATAAACAAGAGCAATAGATGGTGACTCACTTGTTATTTTTGCAAAGTTTGCCTTTGATTGAACAAACATATCTCGAATGCCAAGCTCCTTGAGAGGTTCTTTTAAATCTGTTTCTGCTTCTGCTGTAAACCTAGGGGAGCCATATCAAATGTAATGAGACTGCTTGTAAAACTAGCAATCGTATTTTTTTCCATTAAAATAAGAAAAAATTACATACTTGGGCAAAATGACCTGTACCCTCTTTTGAACCATAGTTGTCATCCAGCTCTGTATCGTTTTTGTGCTAATGTGAGGAATAATAGCCGACAAGGGAGTTGAACTTTGTGCAGGCAAAGCAATCAACATGCTGATACTTTCACCGTGATATGGCAATTCTATAGTATTATACCACAAGTCATTAGGAGTGCTTGTTGTGCCTATAAAACAGGAAATAAATAAAAATACCTTAAAACATATACGGATTGGAATCATGTAGTGTTATTCTCAGTCAGCCTACAGGTGTGGGTAGAGGAGGGGGACCAATATAAATACTACTTTTATACAAAAATTCTTTGTATTTTGACAAAATTAAATGGACATGAAATGCAGATGGTAAAATCTAAGAATGGAATGGAGGAGGAAACCATTTTCTTGACTCAAGCCTAAGAGAACCTAATTGGGACATTTTAAATCAGCAGTGTCAGACTGTTTAATTGGTTTCAGTACCACAGACTAACATGCCAACTATGCTAATCAAGGCCAATTTACTCTTCAAATTGGCCTACATGATCAGAAACTAAAGCTACCACCAGGAAGAACCCAGATATTTACAGAATTAGACTAGAGGTAGTCTTCGACTTACGACCACAATTGAGCCCACAATTTCTGTTGCTAAGTGAGACATTTGTCAAGTGAACTTTGCTCCAATTTACCACCTTTCTTGCCACAGTTGTTAACTGAACCACTGCAGTTGTAACAGGATTGTTAAGTGAATCTGGCTTTCCCATTGACTTTACTTGTCAGAAGGTCATAAAAGGTAATCACATGACCCCAAGACACAGCAACCGTCATAAATATGACTCAGTTACTAGGTGTCTGGATCTTGATCACATTACCACAGGGATGCTGCAATGGTTGCAGGTGTCACAAATGGTTGTACCCTTGAACAGTCACTAAATTAACTGTTGTAAGTTGAGGACTACCTGTATTATTATAATGTTTAGTATGACTTTAGTCAAAAGTTTTGATCTACTTGTATATAGCCAATGACTATGCAGTTGGAAAAAGCTTTAGCACTAGATCCCCTACTGAAAATAATAACTTATACATTCTCCATTCTTTCATGACAATGTATACAGGAATTGATGTCGGGGATACATGTTTCATAACAAAGCCAGTGTCTTTGTAATGTTCAAAGATGCTGAGGAGATAAGAGAAGACTCCAAATGGATGTGTAAGCTTAAAATATGTGATTACCTTGATTTTTTGAGGAACACTTTCTTGGGTAGATTTGTGAAACTCTTTTCTAAATGATCTGCACTGTCCCACTAAAATTTTTACTTAATCTTAGTTTATAGAATTGTAAAGGAGGGTAAATTTCAGAATTTTAAAATGTTATTAAACGTACCACATCGGAAAACTGACAACTGAGCCAGCATAGGCACTTGGTAAGTCTTTCCATCACCTTCATTGAATGTTCGCTTTTTTGTGTTTTCAGGTTGAAATCGGGACCTCCATAATCCCTTAAAATATACTGCATTTATCACTACTAGTCTGGTCAGAGCACTGTCAATATCATCTGCGGTTAGGACACTGTCGATCATACCTAAACAAAAAGACAAAACCCAACCTCAATTCAAAAGTAGAAAATAAAGGACATATTTTAACATGCTATTATATTAAGTAAAAACTGAAGCAACTTAAGAGGAATCACATGGTGAACTATATTCTTATGCCACTACACCAGTGGTGGGATTCTACCAGTTCGCACCGGTTCAGGCAAACCATTAGCTCTGAGTGGGCCCACCCATCCACTCGTGTGTTATATTCGCCTATATTTCTGTTTTCAAAGCCCAACTGATTGGCATGGCAGAGTGGTTTGGCGCGCGTCAGCTGTTTTCCTCACCATCTGGAATGCAGAAGGTGACTCTTGTCAAAACTGCGCATGCGCACTCAGTGAACCGGTTATTAAACCCATAGGCTCCCACCACTGCACTTCACAATGCTCGAAACCAAAATGTTAGCATTGGGGAAAAGAGACAAGTTAAAGTAGAGAAGAAACAGGAGAGTGAGAAAAAGAAAATTATCACATACCCTCAGTTTTATTTTTGACCCACTGGTTCATAGCGTCGGAAGCAGCATTCGGATCTTTGAAATTTATATTTTTGACAGGGCACTGAAACACTTCACTGTTTCTAGAAACAAAAGATGCTTCCATTTTCAGCCCGCTGTTCGCAAAAACTATATTTGCAATTTTAACAATATCCTTATTCTTCCTTGAGACAATAGCTTTGTTTATCTTCTTCAATACTTTACCAACTCCTAATTGAAAGACAAATGAAGTGAGTATAAATACAGACACACTTTTAACAATTAGAAGCATTCAGTGGCTAAAAGGCCTTCTCATTTATAGTTTGCTCACCATCATTAGAAGATTATGTGGCACAGTCATATCACTCAAGTTTTCACTTCTCTTTATATGAGATTTTGCTCCTGATCTGTTTTATTGTACGATTGTTTTGGTTTTATTTTAAAATGAAACCAAAACAATTATAAAATGAATTATTTTATAAATGAACTAAATGAACATAAATGAATAAGGGAGATATATAAAACCAATAATTATTTGGGTTAGAGAAGTCAATTAAGAGCATGCTTGGTTTTCAGAATCTAACTTGATTTTTTTTTACTAGAATTTTATTTATTTAGATTTTTCTTTTATCCCACCTTTATTACTTTATAAATAACTCAAGGCAGTGAACATACATAATCTTTTTTTCCTTCTCTTTCCCCCCACAACAATGACCCTGTGAGGTGGGTTGAGTTGATTGGCCCAAAGTCACCCAGTTGGCTTTCATGCCTAAAGTGGAATTAGAACTCACAATCTAGAATCCTTAAACAGTGGATTAATCTGATACAAATGTGATAACTAAAGCTACAGTCTTTTAAGGGATTGAAGCCTCTGTCCCACATAATCAAATACACTGAACAGATTGGATCTGCAGGAGAAATGGAGGGAAAATCACTATGTGTGTGTGTGTGTGTGTGTGTGTGTGTGTGTGTGTGTGTGTGAGTGAGTGTGTATGTTGGAGTACTTAAACCATTGTTTTATTTCTCTGCTCACATATTTCATTAGGTAATAAAGTCCTCAAGTTTGAAAAGGGCATCCCTTAGTAAACAAAAAGATCACTACATAGTTATTAGTCATTGAAGCAATCGGTAACAAGCTGGTGGTCTTCTTGTTAAGCTGCAATGCAAAACATTAAAGGGAAAGTTTCTGGATCGCAAAAACAACAAGGATGTGGAACTTAGAAAAGTAGAACTCTGTAAAGTTTGATATGACAACTGCTCCCCTCCTCTCTCCAACAGGCAGATGATACTGTTAAATTGCCAGAAGCACAATAATATTTTATAAATATCATGCAAATGCTCACACGGATATGTATGCATCCTACATCAGGAGCAAGAGGCAGGTGGCATTTTGTGCTTTTGGCAATGAAATTCAATCCTGCTTACTCTGGAATCAAGAAATCAGTTTTTGTTAGATTTACTGTGCTTAGCATTTGTGCCAAACACTGGAGCCAAGAATGCCTTCTGGTATGAGAGATAATGCTTCACTGTCATCTACTTAGTATGCATTAGGACATGATAACTGCTTAATGTACTGCGCAACAGTAACCACTATTTTCCTACAGATTTCTTTGCGTGCTTATGGAAGAGTTATGGCAAAGATGAATTTATTTCAGAAATCAATACAAAAAGCCCATATCTTGAAATAATAGATCAAAACCACTGACCGTTTACACTGTATCTCATCACTGTAGTCAGCTGCTTCTTTGTCTTGCCGTCAGCTCCTAGCTGAAGCATCCCAAGTACTGATGCAATTCCATGAGGAGAAACCACAACATTATCACCAGCTCTGGTTTTGACCAGCTGATTGAAAACTTGGATTCCAATGTCCGATCCCAATTCCTCTAGTGACAAATGGTTTTGAGGAAAGCACACATAGGTTGATGTCAAGGCAGCAAAGAGGAGAGGAAAATGCCAATACATGGTTCCAATCTAGAATAACCTGAAAAAGAACAAAGAATGTATATGACATGAAATTACACGAAGCATGTGAGTCTGGTGTGCAGATACTTCTTCTAAAACTCCTAACTACTATGGCCCATAGTACTATGATCCCATGCTGAACAATACATTTAACAATACAGTTAATCAGAATATATTTTAAAGTATGCAACTTTTTATACTTGCTTCTAAGAACATCCTTTATTAGGAAAAGCATTTTTACAGTTCTGAGGTCATAAGTTGTCTATTAATTTAATCGTATCTTAATTCTACTCATTTTTTGCTGCCTAGAATAAAATCTGAGAAAATCTTATTTTATTTCTGAACTTCAAGACTCGATACAGAATAAATCAAATGTTGAAGCACTTTCATCCCTTTAGCCTGAATGCACTGGAAATATGGTGGGTTATCTTTAGGGACATTGGTTACATAAACACTGTACATTCTTTAATCTTCTTCTCTTGCTTTTCTGGGTATTGTTCAAAGGATAAAATTTGATTTTGCAGTCAATAAGCAACACTGATCAAGGACAGGCATCCATTTGTATATGTTCTCAGAACAGGAGATGTTAAGAAATTGAAACAAAATGAATAATTTAGAGCAGGAAAAAACTTAAGATCTTTTGTTTAAAGGCTTTTTCACTCACATCATGCTTTAGTAGGCATAAAAATTTCTATAAGTATCCTAATAGAGATAACACCTTGAGTATTCTAAGAGGATAATCTAAATGCTGTGCAAACAAAGCTCCCCTCTCTCTGATATGTTAAGGCAAACACTTCATTTGCAAAACTGCTCTGACACTTATTCCCCACAGAAATTTCTTTCACTGGCAGTCACTCTACAACACTATTTTCTCAATCTCAGCAACTTTAAGATGTGTCGACTTCAACTCCCTGGATTTTCCAGATGGCATGCTGGGTGGGAAAGTTTTTGAGGTTGAGAAAATATTGCTGTACAATATCATCCCAATAGTTACAAACTTCCAGAAAGTGAGTAGGTAAGGCACTGTTTGAATCTCTTTGGTGACCTTGTGCAATAGTACAGTGGCTATCATGGACAAGGCCTATTACCTTTGACTAACTCCCATTAATTACATAAGGAAGGTTTCTAAGCAGGAACTCTCAGGATAATTGGATCAAATGGATGGAGTCAATTTTTATAGGAAAATTCCTGATGTAAGTGATGTACTGGAATTAAAGGGCTAGGACTTTGATTAGGACCTGGAAGTCGATGAAAAATCAGGATTACTCAATAAAGGCAGAGATAGTTTTTAACATAGAGCACAAGTGTCGCAAGGGACATAGCTGTCTTAATACTTTAAAAACAAATGCTTTCTTGATACTAACATGTTCCAAAAAGCACCTCCTTTAGCTATAATATGTACTTTTTCATCCTTATATTTTAATTTTAAAGGAATAAAACAATCTAGAAATTAGAAAGCCGCCAATACATTTGATCAGAAGGGGTTCAAAAAGTACTCTTTTTTCAGTAAATACAGGTTTTTAGTTCATCTAGAAAAAAAATCACAGCTTTTTAATAAGCTGGAATCATTATTCAATTAACTAGTTCACAATACCTTTAGCAGAATAGATATAATAGGAAGAACTGTGAAGACTTCACAGTTTAGCTCTTGCTTTCCTGCTTTGTCATTTGCATTTCAGTGAACATTGCTCGACAATTTTACACAATGTAATTCAAATACAATTATGTATTTAGATTATTAATTTAACTTAAACTTGCTATATAACTTATTATGAAATAAATAATATTACAAGCTTATGCCCATTAATACAACGGAACACTATACTATTGAAATGCTGCTCAGATTTTATTTCCTTTTCACATTTTTGAATTAACCATCTCCTGTGGAGAGCGACATTTGTCTAAAGCAAGCTCATGCTATACAAAACAATAATGCTTTATTTCTTTTTCAGTGCATATGCTAATATTTCCTTAAAAGATGGTAGGTAGGCATTTCTAAAGCAATATCCAGTTCTCCAAAGTTAAAAAAGAAAACTCAAGTATGCAGAGCATGGCTTCTAGAACTGTTTCCAACCTTATCATCAGTTATGCCTGATCAATCAAAAGGCATCTATGAGTTCTATCATTCAAACTAATGAAGTAACAAGAGATGTTTGAGCATGCAATTTTATCTCAGGAGACTAATCACGATGTGCATACATGTCATTGTATGTGAAGATGGTATATGTATGTTACTGTGTATATGCATATGTTCCTTCTCTGCCTTCCAGTTGCATCTATGTGTTTGTACATTAAGTGTACCTTGGGAATCACGGGGAGCGACGGTGCATGCTTCATTCTGGATCATATGTTTGAAAAAGAGAGTTTACAATGGAGATAATGGCAGCATACATAGGCAGTTAGACAGCATTCTAATGCCTTTTGGATAATTTCTTCCCAAAATTCATTTGGTTGGAAAAAAAATAAAGAAAACAGGATAAGCACACAGAGCATGTCTTTTAGAGCGCTTTTCAATCCCTCTATCTGCAATGGCCACAAAAGCATCTGTAGTTTCTTGTGTGAGGGGAAAATGTGTTGCACCTGTGATAGTATTTCTTCTTTTCCTTTGTGTTGCATCTCAGTGAGTTTACATAATAGTGTGCACTGGGAAGCAGGGGACAGGCTGCATATGGTCTGCTCTGAGTCACATGTCTTGCAGGTGGGAGGGTTTAGAAAGGAGCAGCTGCAAACATTTTAAGCAGCTGCCCAAACGCCTCTCATATAAGGATGGATGGGGGAAGCAGTGTTTTTCTCCACAGCCCCCACAATGATCTGGTCCATTTTCAAACTCTTTATCCTGCCTTATCAAATTTGCCCCAATATGTTCTTTCATAGAGTTCACTTACTGAGAGATAAAACTACCAAGTTTTAACAAAATTTCAGTCCACATTCTGTTGGGCTGGAAAAAAATAAAATTGGTTCATAGCTTATTGAGAAAAGATTTCAACATTTACAGTAAGCTTTCGTAGAAGCCCATGGATCAGCTTTTCTATTTAAAAGGCTACTGTTAATAAGGCAGCAATTTCTAAATGCCTTTCACAAATAGTTATATAACAGCCATAAAAATATTCTAGGAATTGTTTTCTTATTCTAAAATTTAAAATTCCTAATTCCTTTTATTTTTAAAATGTGTATGATGTGTAAAAGAACCAGATTATGCTGGGACAGCTTATAGTAGGTGAAATACACACAAAATAATAAAACAATTCAAATGTACAATGAAACACCTTCACTCAGCCTGGGATGATGAGAAATATAATCCAACACTGAAGCAGCAGGTTAAAGAAGGTTCTGGAACATATTGTACTATAAATGGACAGCTGCTTTCCAGGACTAGATGGCAATGCAACAATTTGTTTCACATAAGCACCTAAATAGGACATAGTCAAGAATATTTAATCTTAAAAATTTATCTTTTAGAAAAGTTGCCTACATTTATAATAAAACATGGCTTTCATTAAAATTCTATCTATTCCTTCTCAGGGTTGATTAATAAGCAGAGCTAAACAGTACTTATGCATGGCTGAGTTAATGATCTTACATCAAGGAGAAGTAAATTTGTGAAACATTGCATAATATTTTAAAGTAATACAGATCTGTCAAAAGGATGAACTCTACTTGAACCAGAATGAAATCTATTAGCAATTAACAACAAGATAACAGAGCAGTTTTCAAATTAATCCTGGTCCAACAAATCTCATCCCCAGAAGATACAAACAATTCTAATTGTTAAAGTAAGAATAATTTACATCTAAGTTACGAAAAATAAGAAAGAATGCCCAGATCAAATATGTACGGTGGAAGGATTTCCAGGGAGAGCAATGGCGAACTGAACACAGCTCTGCCTTTTACAGAGCCAACAACTGGTGAAATTAAGACCCAGTGAGTGGATCAGCTTCTCGGTACTCGTGTCCGGATTAAAGAGAAGACATGGATCACCCAAAAATTTGCTCCATACGTAATCGCTTGCAAGGAGATAATAAAATAACAATTTCCAACAGGTTCAAATATTTATTTATTCAGTCAAGGATCAGCAAATTACCAGCAAGTTTAAGAGTTCCAATTGTTGGGGTGGGAGTGGCGGAATCATTGTGCCTAAAGTACAGTTCAGCACCTTTCAAAAAGTCACAGGCTTCACTTATTTTTTTTCTTAACTATTTTAGGAAGCTGCTTATTAATTGAAGTTAAGAACCTTCCAAAGGGCAGGTTTCATTATGTTGCTTGGAAAAAACTCTCTTTCCCCACCCCTCCACTCCCGATGAAAGAAGTACCATGTAACTTTAAGCATTAAAAAGAAAAGCTTTATTTTTGGAGAAACAACAAAGGGGAAATTAAAATGTTGATTTTGAAAAGTCAAGACGCTAGATGAACTTGAAAGAATATTTTTTGTGGGCTGTTTAAAAATGTATATAATAATTAATGAAGTTTCTAAATTTAATTGTCAGAAATTCTCCCGTGGGAAAGTTTTGTTGATTGGAAAAATAAACAGATGATAAGAGCAGATTTGAAGGCTGTCCTGGAGGGAGAAACAATTATACTTAAATTATAATTAAAGGAGAAAAGACCAATTAATACAATGGAGCACTATATTATTGACTGTAGAAGAGGGATCTTCAAGCTTGGCAGCTTTAAGACTTGTGGACTTCAACTCCCAGAATTCTCCAGCCAGCATAGGTGGCTGTACATGGAAGACTAACAGATTTTTGTTGGATAAAACGGAGGCTGAGATTGATTTGAATGAGGATTCAAATTGGAGTTTAAATTACAAAAATAACATGAAAAAGATACTGTGGATCTGAAGATAGACTTTAAAATGCCAAGTATAAGAGTGCTATGGAAAAAGATGCCAAAAAAATGGATTTACAGATAAAACCAGATGGTACCTTAATAATTATACAAATAATAAATCAGAAGAGTGGCTTGGAAAGCTTTCTTATCTTGGATTTACAAAAAGAATATGTGAAAACAAGGAAACCGTTT